CTGAAAACAGGATGAAAAGCTTTTTGGACTTCTATGTTGTGTCAGGATGACGTGTGTGTCAATTACATCCCTTTTGTGTTTTAAGCCGCACAGGGGAGCAGCCGAAGGAAATTAACATTCATTAATCTGAACCTGTTGCACAAAGTCCCAGCCTGGGGAGGGGAGCAGAACTCATTCCGATTTGTTGTACACCTTTGTATCCGATTTCCATGTGGAGTACTATGCTGAGCGAAGATTACGTACGTACACACACGCACGCGCACGTACACCAAGGCACTCATATCTAAAATGGCCACATGATTCCATGTTTTGTTTTCTAACTTGCCTTTGTCAGCGGAGGGTGTCCTGCCTCAAGTTCTTATCTTCTCTGCTTCTTGTTGAGTTTGTACCCCCGATTCCATGCTAAGCACCATGTGGGAATCCCGCTCCCCATCACCACGCCGGAGTGCCACTAAAATAACTGAACATTGACCATCTAATTGGCTGCAGGCTCGGCCCAAAATTTTCGGACTGGCTCCTTCATCTGTGTATAGAGCGTGATGACTCGCTGACCTTAGACCACTGTAGCAGAGGGGGAGAGAGGCGGAAGGGACCGGTCTAAGAACACGCTGGCTCCAAGGGTCAGGCGAGTATAACTTCATTTCTCTTCCTAGACCAAAACGAGCAGTAAAATCTCGCAGTGCAGGGGTAGACCCACTGCAAGGGTTTATAAAATGTTCCCCAGAGTTCTCCAAACGGATATAACAAAACCTGCTTATCAGTCTGCCACTTCCACTGACCAGTCACAGGCTGGGGGAGGGACAAGACCTGTAAGTGTTCTTTAACTGCAGCAGAGAAAAATCAGGTCCCCTGTCTGCCTAGCAAGATTGTGCTGTGTGGCAGGGCTGTGTTAGTCTCGGGACCGGATGGATTGAAATTTCGCTCACCTCTCGATCCTGTCACGGCTCTCTGCCGTGACGGGAGGGGCTGGATTTCCCCGCTCCGATCCTCCAGCGCTGACTGGCGGAACGGACAGGGGAGGGGGCGGGTACAGCTGGCTCTGTCTCTACCGTGTTTCCCCGAAAATAAGACACTGTCTTATCTTTTGGGGCTGCAAAAAACACACTAGGTCTTATTTTCGGGGTAGGTCTTATTTAAATTTTAATGTACAACAATCCACACTTATGTATAAAAGTCTACATGTATTCATATACAAAAATATGGTGATCAGGGGTGCTGTACCTTTCCAAGAGCAATTTGCTAACCAATGGTCACAACTAGGTCTTATTTTCGAGGTAGGTCTTATATCTTAGCAATTCCCAAAAATAGTACTAGGTCTTATTTTCGGGGAAACAGGGTAGATAGGCAGAGCCAGCTGTCACTCACGCAGCTGGGCGGATCCAGACATAATTGTCTGGATCCGTTTCAGCTGCGGCGTCTCAGTATCGTGGTATACTGAGCTTAGGGTGACGGGAGGACGCTAGTTTGTGTCCTCCTGTTAACCTTAGGAGAACTATGAGGAAAAGCCCTAACCCCATAGTTCTCCTTTTAAAGGCTGCTCCAACTGGTCAGGGAAAACCGGCAAACAAAAGAGCGCCTCCATAGTGCAAAACTGTTTTAATGAAGCAAAAAAAGAACAGCTAGGACTGTACTTACAAACAAAGCTAGGACTGTACTTGCAAACGACTTTTGAATTCAGTAATGTAAATTGGATGAGTATACGAAATCACAGAGTTTGCAATTCTTCCACGGGTTGACGCGTTTCAGAAGCCACACTCCTTTTGTCAGAACCGATCATGAGGCGCGTCAACCCGTGTAAGACCTGCCGTGGTGCAGCACTAACTTATTTGGATTGTAAACTCCATTCTTTTTATTTTTTGCTTCATTAAAACTGCTTTACACTATGGGGGCGCTCCTTTTGTTTTAGGTTTATTCTACAGTCCAAAAGGGAGCAAATGAGAGTTCATTGTTTGTGTTTACGTTCACTTTATACACAGATGAGATCACTTTGATGACCTTTAGTAGAGTTGCAGTTAGAATTGACTTCTCACATCGTCGTTACACATGCAGGGGGGTCGCCCTTTCACTGGCAGACCTCTGCTTGAAGGTCAGGCACATCTCCTTTTCTGTCCTCTCCCGTATAAACACCAAACTGAGAACAAAAAACAAAACTGGTGCAATCCAGCAGCGATCAGCTGGTTTCATGGTAAATATGTACATTCCAAGCAAGTAAACAAACACTGAACTGGGAATATCCTTTTTATTGAATGAAAACATGACAGAGACGGGCTCACGAGGGAACGAAACTCATCATCTTACTATGACTCTGTATAAAATACCCACAACAAGGAAATGCTAAAGAACAGGTCTGAACTCCTTGTCATTGTATTCCCGAAACCTCCCCTAGGACTCTAGAATGAAAGATCTCACTGTGCCTCCTGTACAATAAGTGAGGCCCCAGCCACACGCCATCCGCCATTTAACGCAGGGGCACCAAAAAACAATTGGCTGTGAATGAGGCCAGTTCACATTGCGCGATCCGTTCCATTCCGTTGCAGTGCTATGAAGATAAAGCATGCTCTACTTCTATTTTTTTTTTTTTTTTAGCACAACGTAACGGATTAAAAAGGGATGTAACCGCAATGCAGCGCAACAGAAGTAAAAAAAATAAAAAATTTATGTGTCCACTCAGGAAATGTTAATTAAAATAAAGATTGGCAAAAAAAAAACAACCCGGAATGGAAGTCAACAGAGGTTGAAATTGCAATTCAATGGACCCTTCGGTGACTTATTTCCTTCGCATTTTGATGTGAATGGGCCCTGAGGGTTGTCACCTTAGGACAGGAAATGCGTTGCTGGCAGGATCACCAGCTGAAAAGGGGCCCGAAGAAAGAGACTAGGCGACACCTCACCGTGCGGCATGTTTCCGCACAGATTGCTGCGCGGTCAGGAGTCGCCAAGGTGTGAACCGGTCCAGCTGTGGGTGCCATTATTTTCTAATGGCACCCCAGTTGCGCGGGGCGGATCATGCGGTTTCCCGCCGCGATTCCGCCTGTGTGAGTAAAAAAATGCTGCGAGTGGTGTCGCAAAAAGGTACTTGGACCTTTTTTTTTTTTAAGCGATTGCCGCGAGACTGTCACCACATTGAAACCAATGGGGCCGCGCGACAATCGCTGTGTGCACCAGCACACGATCGTGTGTCCCGGGTGTAGTGCAGATATGAACCTAGCCTTAAGCGAGCACCACATCGGAGGACTGTTAATCTGCAATATTAGTCTTGTTTTTGGGTGTAGATGCACTTTAAAGCGTAGCTAAACCCCAAAACATGAAGGGAATATATTGCAGCTTTCCTGTCCCTAGATGTGGTGGCTGCATTTTTTTTTCTATTTTAAGACATCCGTCTTTTTATATTTTTTTCTCCTTTTATTTCAAGCTTATGATCTGGCAAGTAACACACTTCTGCCCTAGGGTGACAACGCTGTATGGTAAAGGAACTAAGCCACCCTAGGACAGCAGCATTGTCACCCTGTGGGGAGGGGGGTGTTAGATGCACTTGCTAATTTAGATGGGCATGAGTAACAAATTAAATCAAATATGACGTTTTTGATATGCTTCAAGTGATCTCATCAAAGCATCTGGTGCCCATATTGACCCTTTGCGGTCTGTGGAAATGTAGGGAGTATCAGGTCATTATGGGCAGCAGCTCTTTCAGGCCTATTAGTAGGGCTAGGTAATCCCTATCAGTGTGAAGATTTATTTTCAGATTGTCAGTCTGTACTGTGCGGGGTTTCTAGTTTCGCTGCCCAGGCTGCAGCACTCAATCACCAGCACAGAACCAGACCCGTCCAATGACGTCAGCGGCAGATGGCAAACTATTCAGAACTTGTTAAGGGGTAGTGGGGGTGGGCTCTCGGTTTACAGCCCCCTTCATACAGAGGAAACCCTTTACTTGCAATCGCTGTACAGCCAGGTGCAGGGAAACGTCCCTCCTAAGTAATTAAGTAGTTAAACTTTTTTAGAAGATGTTTTTGGTATATTCAATAAAACAGTTCAAGTTACAATGTGCTATAGCCCACAGCAACTCGATTTCAGATCACAGAGAGACCATTTGGTTGCTGTGGGCCACCGTAGATGCCTGTATTGTGTGCGATTACTCTATAAAGAGAACCAGTCACACTGGGACTTGTGCTAAAACCTGATTAGTATGTAAGCCCTAAACCAATTTTTTCAGTATGCTGGGTATCATACCTCACTGTATACAGTGGTTCTTGCCAGTAACAGCTCTTCCTGTTACAGGCTGACAATGCTAAGCCGTAGCCTTTATAATTGGTAGCAGCGTTGTTGGCCTGCCGTGTGCACTCCTTCAGTTTGCTGAGTCGGGGAGAGCCCGGCGGCCCCAAGAGTCGGGGAGAGCCCGGTGGCCGGTCTAAAGCATTGTGTATAGCAAGCTGACAGGGTTGCTGTTACTGGCAGAATGTCCAGATAAGAAACGGCAACAGATTCACAAATAAAAAGATTTGATTAAATGAACTGTACACAGTGAGGTACGATGCCAATCATACCGGAAAAATAGGTTATGGGCTTACATGCACATCAAAGTGAACCTGCGCACTGCCCGTGCACAAGACTGTATAATGAGATGCTTGTACAAACCCAATGGAGACCACTTCTCATTATTATTATTATTATTAATTTAATAATGTCAATTATATAAAGACAACAGTGAACATCGGCTTGTAAAGTATTTGCAGGGCCAGGGTCTTCGCTGTCTGTTCTTTCAACTCAAAATGAACCGGTTACTTTGCCCATACAGGGCATGGTGACAGGTTCTCTTGCAGCCCACTCTCCTTCCCAGTGATCTGATGGGATATAAAGAGGATCCATTCATTTGTTCCAGTTTTTAGTTTTCATTGTCCTGCACTCGGGTTTATGAACGTATAATTTTATTCTCATTCAACCTTACTACACGATGATGTGTTCTAGTAAATCTCAGTAGTCATGTGCTGTATGCTTGTTTTCAGGCTCAGTCCATTTTGGGTCCATCCATTGACAAGGTAACCGGAACACTCCTCTACAATGTGTCCACACGCCTCAAGGATACAAACAGACTGGGCTTCCTGGTGGGCTACATCACCAGCAAGAAGATCGGGACGGATCTACAGCTCAATGGTACTTTTATTGTAATTGGTGACTAGCGGAGGGGGATACAGAGCTACAGTATGTGGACACAGTTTACTCCTGCATGAGGATTTGTTGTTTTTTTTTTTTGTTTTTTTTTCAAACAGATCCCTTATTTACCCACTGACCCCAAATGACAAGACCCTCAAGAGCAAAAATGTTATATATTGCATGTTACCAGACCTTAGCTGTGGTATTTTTCCTGTCTTCACCTGGTGATCCTGCCAGTAACACACTTCCTGTACTAGGGTAACAACGCTGACTCACTATACGGTATCTGTTCAGGAGCAGCCTTGCCACCCTAGGATGCTCATTAGTGATCTGGGCTACAGAACACCTCACTCTCTCCTCCTCTATAGAATATAGAGGGTAGTTGGCAAAGGAGAGCTTAGCAGGAATAATAACCCTCCTTGGGATTTCAGTGTAAGAGACATGCTATGTTGTCGGATCAGTACAGGAAGTTAGGAGCTCACTGGATTTCTGGAAGATCAACAGGTATTTTATTGTACATATACAGCCTTTTATTTTTATAAGGAATGCCTGTTTTCGTGCAGGATTCAGGCACAGGTCAGGCATGCTCCCGGAAGAGCATGGAACTATAGAGAGATGTACTTCTAGCTAGGGATGCACCAATACTAGTATCGGTGCCGATGCAGAGTATTTGGGTAATTACTGGTACTCGCCCAAATGCTCCGATGCCTAGCCTGATACTTCCGGTATCAGGAAGCCGGGCAACGCGTCATTACACGCTGCCCAGCTTCTTGATTGGCCGGGAAGCCGGCTCCATGCTCTCTCGTCGCTTGTGACAATGACGTGCTGCCTGGCTTCCTGATTGGTCCGGAAGCTGGACAATCAGGAAGCCAGGAGCCGTGTAATGGCGCGGCGTCCGGCTTTCTGATTGGTCGGGAAACCGGCTTACTGCTCCCTCGGAGCAAAAACCTGAGAAAAAATATCGGTACTCGATACCGAAATACCGGTATGGGTGCATCCCTGCTGATAGCCTAACGATGGTTGGCTTTATCCTCCCAGGGCAGAGCAGCCATGTTACCTTAAGGATATATGGGGGTACTCTAAACGCCCTTAGGTCAGCATACTGTATAAGCAGAGCTATCTTTAATATTTGCGAGGTCTGCTCTGCCAAGTATTATTTAATTGTAGAGATGGAGGTGCGGTGGGCTGGAGTGACCGAGGCAGACGTTGCCACCATCATTCATCTTGCGGGAAACCGATAGCGATTAGCACAGCTTTTCTAACCTTCCTATGTTAGTCTGTTGGCTGGTTTCCTCTTATTGACCGTTGTTTTTTTACTTTCAAATACTGTTCTTCCCTAATGTGACCCGCGCCATAATGCTGTATAGATCCGGCCCTTGTGTTCATTTACTCCTCTCAGGTTCACCTCGGGATACGCGCAGGTTCTTGCCTGCATGCCCTCTGGGGTCTTCTCAAGCAGCTATTTTATTAAACCACTAATGTGTTAAAAATTAAATTAGCTCCACAGAGGATCACAGCGTGCGTACATCGACTTTCCTTGTCCTGTTAATTTGATTATCCTCCGGTCCCCTTTGGCTGAGCAAACGATCTACTTTTTTTTTTTCCCTTCTATCCAGCCGCCTTGGATTATGTAAAAGGCCACCCTGTGGACCCCATTGATGTGGCCGGTTTTGAGAAGGAATGTGGAGTGGGAGTAGTTGTGACGCCAGAAGAGATAGAAGAAGCTGTAAGTATTTGTATTCTCTCTTCTATCATGTTTTGCAGATACCAAGCTAGTTTAAAGTGCACCTGTCATGAGAGAATTATGCAGGCTGCTATTGATGACCTTGCCTCTTGAGAATGTTTGCTGCCTGGTCATAGTGATGCTTTGGCTTCAGTGCTTGGAATCACTGTCCTGGAACAAGTATTGGGATAAGGAATTCTGACACTTATTTAGGGCCGGTTCACATCACAAATTCTGCGTTGCAAAGCGTTCGGCCTCTGGAACGCAAGGCGGCCAACTTCCTGCGGGAGGGGGCGTGATGGTGCATTGAAGTCAATGGCACGGCAGCCACGCCGCCCGCATTGCGATCACCCGGAACGCAGGCACAT